ATATAGACCAAACGTACCTAAAAAGATAGACGTGGTAAAAGGTTCTGCATGACATTCGTGAAAATGAACATTCACTTTCAGAGCGTGACAACCCTACCAATGAAAGCGAGTCCCAAACTCGCCTGAAATCATTCTTGTGTTGGCACAATCGCCATACCACGACGTACGAGAGAAGAGAGGAACCAAGCCTTGGGACGATTGCAAACTTGCATGGCTGCACGGAGGGTAGCCAATCATTTTAATGTTCATGTTAGGACAATCTACCGACTGCAGGTATTAGGCCACTAACACCATCCCAGACCCTCCACGCAGTGGACGACTTGCAGTAACATCACAACGTCAAACCCGACATATTGTGCCCAGAGCCATGGAGACAGCTCGCCAGACCACCGGAACTCAAAAGAGACCCATTAGTGCCGATACAGTGGGTCGACGTTTGCGCGAAAGAAACCTCTGCTGTCACAGACCATGTCGTGGGCCTGTCCTCACCGCTCGTTACCACCAAAACCGATTCCAATGGGCAACTTTGAAATTGACGTTATCGAGAATGAAGAACTGCCCTGTTTTCTGATGAAAGCCGATATTGTGTTTCGACAGCTGATGGCAGAGTGAGAGTATGGCGAAGGCATTGGGAACGGTTTTCCAATGCGTGCATTGTTGAAAGAGACTCGTGGGGTGGTCCAAGCATCATGGTGTGGGGTGCAATCGATCTGAGAGTTGGCTCCTTGGTGTTCCAGAATCACTGTCCAGGACGAAGAAATAGCGTGACAGCTGCTCGCTATGCTGATTAAGTCATAAGACCCCACGTTGTACCACATTTTGAACGGCGCAGAAATCACATCTTCCAGAAAGGCAACGCTCGTGCCAACACTGCCAGAGCAACACTGGACTTCCTAAAACAACATGGCATCCGATCCCTTCAATGGCCTGCACTCAGTCCAATACAACACCTTTGGGACAAAAATTTAAAGAAGACTCAATGACCTTCAACCGAGGCCGACAACTCCGGCTAGACTCGATCAGGCATTTACCAGAGTACGGACTCAAGTGCCTATGGCCTTCAACAACCGGCTTATTCATTCCATGTACAGACCACGCACCGCCGTCATCTATACCCATGGAGGCCAACCCGATACTGATTTGAGGTATCTTAGTGGTACCATTTTCGGTGAATTTGTTAGTGTGAACTCTACATGTGATTCCCGAACATGTGTTACCCATAATTGTCAAGTTTAAACGCAATCTCCGTTTTGATTGATAATTAGAGCAAATTATAGTGTGTGGTTTAAGAAACCTCTATCGTTTCGCGTTTCTTTTGCGGTTCAGTAAACATTTTGTGTAATGGCGTAGGCTCACATATCCTCACCCCCAACGAGGACAACAACCATTATCAATCTTACTTCATCATCGTATTCCTCCATTATACAAAATAAAATACTTTGTACTTCAAAATGTATCAATTATTTCAATCCCCTTTAAAGAAACAACAACGTTATATGAGAATAGTGTTATGAGGATAGTATTAACACGATCCATCATAGGTGAAAATTAGAAATAAGGACTGAAACACACGAAGTTGTAACCAATAGTTGGTTTAATTACGTGTATAATTACGTGTGACCTTTTAATATACTTGACAAAATACGTAAGGGATATTGGTATTTTAATGATTGATATTTTATCAGAGTGTAAATGAATAAATAGATCACTATTCATAATTTCAAAATTTACATATTTCTGTCCAGTATGTACCTGTAAGTCCCGTTTCTCTCGATTAGATATCTGATATTACAGCAATGAATGTAATATATGAGTTGTATCGCATATTTGGTGAGTGCTGCGCGATAGCAGCAGAATCGGCCATTGCTTTCCTAGAAAATTTGGTATGAATTACTATTACAAATTACTTCAATGACAAGATTTCGAATGAATTTTATCAATATATTGTTGCCGTTAGTGGAAATCGAATTTAATACGCTCTGGGTTCATTGCGCTGTGGATGATATGGTCGTAGTCAACATTGTCGATTTGTCCATGGTGAGCACGTCATGAAGGACAACACGTCGATCCACACTCAACAGCGAGGGGCCAGTTAACCTCTGTTGCAACGATATGGATTGGGCCTTTCAGAGTTCAAGTGATGACACCCTACCTATGACCGACCCACCGCTAAATCTGTCATGGGGTCTTGGTTTGTCATTAGCTTGATATTCACTTCAACGTCCTCAGACACCACGTCCCTTTCATAAAATTAATGTGCAAAATGAACCGTGACTCTGCAAAACTGGCACGTGACCAGCATTTCGATTTTGAGTTCGATTTCAAGGAATCGCGTTACGAGTATGTAGTCATCGTCGTTTGCTTGTGGCACGTGCAGACCATAATTCATTGTTTTGGTTTGAACTTTCAAAGAGGCTTGCACCTCACAAAGCTTTTTTCTATAAGTGTAATTGCATAATGACCAAAGTTTTCAAGGCAAGTCGAGAATTAGAGTGAGTGAGTGAGTTAATATTTAACATCACATCGGCAATATCTCAGCCATATCGGGAGAAAAAGAAGTTGTAAATGTAAAATCTCTGCACATGCCTTAAAATACATTTTAGAAAAGATAATAATACATTGGAAGATTTATCATGTTCTTATTGTTCTTCTGGTAGAACTGAAGACGAACACCACTTATTATCAGTTTGTGAGGCCTTCTCTGCCTGCAGAGCGAAGTATTAAAAAAAATTGCTCTGATGATGCCCCACAAACGATGTACAATATATTTAATTCTATGCTGATATTATCAAATCTGTTTAGAATTTTCATAAAACACTTAATGTCCACCCGTAAATCACATGTAAAACCATAATTTCATGCCACGTGACCATTAGCTGAAATGTTGCTAGCTCCACTGGACCTTACCTACTGTCTGTAAATGACGGGTTGGACGTTCTGTGTTTATATGTGTTTTGTTACCTGTTGCTTTTCGAATCCTACGGGTAAACGCTGATTCAAAATGGATATTGTGCAGCACAAGATTCTGAAACGTTCGTTAGGCATATGGCTTACCTTCATGGTTCAAACAGCTTCCTTTCCTCTTTAACCAGACCCAGGGTTATATTTTACCTGGGATTTTTAAGGAACATCAATTGATATACGATATAGATAAGTATGAGTTAGAACACATACATTTTTATGTGCTTCACTTATCTCATTCAATTTCTGTATCGCAAACTCCACAATGAACATTGCAGTTCAAGGTGATGCCTAAACTAATGTGCAACATCCATCGTCATTGGACCATTACCGTTTGTAAAGGCAGTGATAGGTGATCCGATTTTTGTAACATAACTTTCGAAAAGAACATTGAAATGTAGAAATATTCACATTTAAACATGCTCCTAAGATTTGGCTGTCATTAAATAGAAATATGGTAATAACTTAAAACGCGGTAAATGTTCACGGTTTTATTATTAGCAGCGATATATAACTAAAGCAAATGTACAAGTTGATGAGCGAAGAATTAAATTCTTTAAAATCAGAAAAAAACATGAGTTGCCAACTAACGATAACAGCAATAAGTAAGATTTACAAAATAAAGGTTTGGGCATGAACTTCACAATGATACACTCTGTCAAAAAAGAAACGCAACCCCTGTACTTTAGAGATTTTAATCTTAAGTTTTAGGACGACACGGCATTTTTATTATTTAAGACAGAAGTCTGGAATTTGGCAGAATAATAACCAAGATGGTCATGTTTAAAATTGTCATTTCAAAAGTCATCTCACAGACACCGGTTTGTCACCAGGGGGGCGTCTTTCTCAGTATCTCGTATGAACACCACGAGCTGGAATCACTGCACGGCATCTCCTTGGACAAGAACGAATAAGACGCCGGATGCTCTCCTGGGGAATGGCTCTCCACTCCTCCTGCAGTGCAACGGCGAGCTGTTGCAGCGTCTGTGGCGGCGGCTGACGTTGACGCACCCGTCGATCCAGAGTATCTCACAGGTGTTCAATAGGGTTGATGTCTGGTGATTTAGAGGGCCATGCCAAGGCATTGACGTTGGAATTCTGCAGAAAGTTCATTGTTGCACGTGCAGTTGTCCTGTTGAAAAATCTGTGTCTGTTGGTCAATAATCGGGAGAAGGTGAGGCTGTAACCCGTGGTTGATGTAACGTTGGGCTGTCAGGTTCCCTGGAACGGTCACCAAGTCTGATTTCTGGTTGTATGAGATGGCTCCCCAAACCATAACGCTTTCACCGCCAAATCTGTCCACCTGTCGGACGCAGATAGGCGCAAAACGTTCATGACGTCTCCTATACAGACGCTGTCTTCCGTCGTGACGTTGCAAAAGAAAACGTGATTCATCAGAAAACCAGATGCGCTTCCAGTTTTGTAAAGTCCATATCCTTCCGTTGTTGCACCACCTGAGTCGTCGGCGTCGATGTAGGGGGCGTAGTACAGGTCCAACAACTGGTCTACAGGCACGTTCTTTCAGACGGTTCCTAATCGTTTGAGCTGACACTCTCCTCAAACCTGGTATTTGTGTGGCAGTTACGGTTGGTAGGGCATGCCGATTACTCAGGTGATGGACCCGGATGTACCGATCTTGAAGGGGGTCGTGATTCTTGGCCTTCCACTTCTCGGGCGATCGTCGGTCGAATTGAAGTTGTTGTAGCGGCTCCAAAGTCGGGATATCGTTGTTTTGTGAATATTTAGGTGCCGTGCAACAGTTCCAAAACTTTCTCCGGCTTGAACACGACTAATGGCGATATTTCGGTCGGCAGAACACAATCGTGGCATTTTAACACTGCTTTTCGGCGACAAATGAATGAATAAAATACGAAAGCACATGGGCTTTTATACACCCCTACATTAACTGCTATTTTCATGATTTGCATGTGCATTTGTTTTTTTGTGCGAAGTCACCAGGGTCATTTCATGCGTTGTGACGGAATAAGCAATAAAATACACTTATGCGTTAAAATGCAGTTGTTTGGATGGTAATCTTCATAAAATACGTGTATAATTTCAATACATTTGAATAAGATTTAGTTTGGAAGCAATAACTTTATTCAAACGAATTTTTAATATCTGATGGCAGGGGTTGCGTTTCTTTTTTGACAGAGTTTACCAATAATCAATGTACAAATAAGATATGTACAATTCTTATGGAGGCAAAAATGACCACAAATGCAAGACAATATCTGCATTGTACTACATACCCTCTCAACTGCGTAGAAACCAGACTTTGTAAATCATCTTCAATGCATGAATAACGTTGCCTGCCCATGCCAGATAACCCAATTGATGACAATGCATAATATCATGCGATGAAACAGTTCGAGAATAAAATCTATGGACAGCAATATCTCTATGCCCAACTGATTGTCACGATGCCGAGCTGTGCTAACTGGCGGTCAGCGATGAACATGGATGGTCCTACGACCACAAGATGATGAAGGGCCTTTTTTGTTACCCGGTGATATTCTCCAAACGTGACCCCTGCAGTTCCCCCAAAGCACCGTGTGATGTTCCAAATGTGCTCATTTACAAATATTTATTGATGATGATATAACTTTGACAGCATGATGCTATATGGACAAATGTATAAACATTAAAACGATTACAAAGGAATAACAACGTCCTAAATGTAGTTAGATTTCAAGTCTGGCAATCCTCACGAACGAAGCTATATGGTCCTGATCAAAATGATACAAACACCTTTAACAATTGACATGTAAATTCAGGGACGAATAAGGGTCCAATATCATACATTCTATTGATCTTATTACTGCTTACAATAAGGTTAGGGGCGGTCGGTGTAAACTAATGGTTAAAGCGCCCACTCGTCACGGTGGGTCGATTCCCCACTTGTGTAAAATTTTGAAACCCATTACTAGTGTCCCCGCCTGATATTTCTTAGATATTGCTAAGATCAGCGTACGACTATACTAACTCACCGATTCACTACAATCAGGTTAAAATCTAATCATCAGCAACTGGCGATATATATCGTGCATCTATAGCTGTGTGCGTTTCTGTTGCTCCAGAAGAAGTTCCTGTTGTGTTTGCATCTCCGTCAGCAACACCAGTGCCTCTTGTTTGGAAAGAACAACCCGCTAAAACAGGAAAGGCGGCGGCCATATCTTGCCCGATTTCTTGGCTGTTTGATGTCTCAGACTCCATGTCCATGTCTGTTTCTCTAATTTTCCAATACCGATGTAAGGCCTCGTACTCTCCTCTTTCTTCTTGTGGTGTTTCTGCTCCATGTTCACTCTCACCCTGCTGATTATTCCTGAATAGTAGAACGATATAGTCATCAGGTAAAGAAATGCACCAACGCAATTTTTGGATTTCAGATTCCCCAGTTGATAGGTTCCAGTAACACTCAGTTGTATCGTCCTCTATAGTTAAACTGTTTTAGATTTACTTGCTAGTTTTAAATATATATCTGTGATAATCTAGTTGTTTTACTGCCCTTCGTTGACAGGTGTTTATAATTGAATTTTTAATCATTATAAATCTATACCTTGTTTTAGTCACGATATGGCTGAAATATTGCCAATGTGACTTAAAATCTTAACTCACTCACTCATTCAACAACACTCATTTACAATGGCAAACTGTGAGTATGCTTGGATACAATGTTACATTTGTAGACGAGTTTCTATTTAATCTTGAAGTATAGTAAAAAGCGTCAGTCATATACGTTCAGTGCTGAATAATCTGTTTTAAGCAACTGGTATATTTACTTAGTACACATGCCACATGTACACACTGACCTCGTCGTAGTGAGACCCCTGCGGTAACAGATGCAACATCCTGCCACTGCCACAAACAGTGCTGCTATCAGTGATACTGCATACAGGTTTATGCCACTCGCCGATTTACCTGAAAGAGATGGATAATGTCAGCTGAAAAAAAAATGTCAATGCAAATTATATCTAGAAAACATTCCTAAGTATCAAACAATCTGGTCGTGTTTTATAATGTCATCCCTGTATAATGTTAGGAGTGAATAACGAGGAAGTGTGATTAAGGACTGCATACATGTAGTCTTGAGAGGCAATTGAAAAGATAGTATAAGAAATATAATCTTCACAATTTTACCGTGGAGTTCTGTTAAATAGCATAATGAATTTTCAATGATTTAGCATGTATTGTATAACCAGACATTATTGAGAATTTTTGGAAAATGTTTAATTGGATTTCTAGTATACAACCTTGACCAGCCATCAAGTGCTTGGTTTCATTCAAGAGAGACAACTCCGTTAATCCTTTAATAGTTTGTGAAGAGTTATCCCCCTTTGTTTACTTGCTAGTAGACGACATTTTCAGTGATCATCAGTATGGATGATTAAGAGAAGAGTAAGTTGATTTTAGAGTATTATAACAAGGTCATCAGATCAGCTAAAGTGATTTCAAGTAGAACAGGAATCCCTTTGTCCACTGTTTATCGTGTGTTGAAAAATATTGCAAATTGATATGGCATTGAGCACCAGGGAGGCGCAGGTAGGCCCGGAAAATTGAGTGTCAGTGACAGGAGGCGACTTGGTATTCTTGTTTCTAAAAACAACCAAAGGAGTGTAGAAAACTTAAGGTTGGGTATGATTGATAGAGGAACTGTGGCTGTTTGTAAGGAGACAATTCGAACTGAGCTGCATGCAATGGGTTGCAGAAAAGTCGAGGAATTCCATCACCGATCATGAAACCTGAACAAAAGGATCGAAGGTTGAACTGGTGCTTACAGCCTAGAAATTTTAACTGGGTCAATGTGATTTTCTCAGATGAAAGTTCTGTGTGGCTGTTTCCTAATACACTGAAATTCTGGACCAAACAAACTGAAAAACCTTTGGTTTCGGACCCAAAATATGACATTATTAGATTGGCCAAGCTATAGCCCTGACCTAAATGCAATAGAAAATGTTTGGGGACTTGGGGAAAGTGTCAATAAGAAATTTCTGACAAATATTGCTGAAATGAAAGAAGAGGTGGTCCGATATTGGGACAGCATGGACGACGACTTTCTAACTTCTTGGATCAGTAGTATTGAAGCCTCATTGAAGCCTGCATTGCTGCCCATGGTGACTTGACAAAATGCTAACTGTTCACCTGTCTTTGAATCTGGAGTTATGTTCTGATAATATTCACATTTAATACATGAATAATGAGTGAAAAAAATATAAAAATTTACAATCTTTAAATTCTCAATAGTTTCTGGTTGTACTGTATGTACAATATATACTGTTAATCGTCATAGAACGTATATAACTCAATCTATGTAAAAAACACCATGTTATAACTCTCGGTAAACCTAGTTTACATACAAGGAAAACTATATTTTGTAGTTTCATCTTGTCATTGTCGTGTGCGCATAACCGTCAGGAGTATTGCAATGTTCTTTACTAAAATATACGTTGAATTGCTTTGATCTTAAACCTTGAATGTTTCAAGAGCCTTTCGGTCATATGTTTTTGTGATTGTATTGTACACGTATCTCTTAAGAATATTACAACGTTCTATAGCACTAATCAAAATTAAATTAAATTATTTACGTTTTTGTCGTCGTTAACATCTCACTCATTGATGCTGATGTCTGCTACTCGGGATTTGCAATCTTTTGTGTTCCAACCAAAACATTTGTACCTAATGTCAAATTAAGTATTTTTTTATTCTGTCTGATTGTTGGATAATAATTTACTGAAATGGCTCATAATGTACCATGCAGTTTTTTTTAGACAAAGTACCGCGATTTTATATTCAGGTAATGTTAGTGTTCCATAGATATCCTCAATGTTGTCAGTATATACACTTTTAAGGATTTAAACGTGATTTTTCAAAATGAAATGCTTTGATTTTAACCCCTATATATTTGAAATCAAACGTCCACCTATTTTGGATTGTCGTTTATCCCAGGAAGCATTACAAACCAAAAATGATTTCTTTTAAAATGATTTACCTGTGACACAAGATTCGTCGCTGCACTCGGTTGTTGGAATGTCTTCTGAACAATTACGCTTACATCTTTCCTCAGTGATGGTGCATTCCTTGATACAATTGTCAGTAATCTGAGCACACACATCATCAATGCATGTCTTACTGGTGAGATTACAAAATTGTCCATACACCTCACTGCTGCAGTTGTGTAAACAAGACCCGTTGTTTGATTTGCAAGTGTAACTAGCGCAGATGTAAGAACATGGTTTGCAGTCCTTTCCAAAATGACCCGCTGTACAACCTTCGTCACACGCACTTGTGTTGTCACATTGTTTGTTAAAACAGTTGAGGTTACACTGAAATTCACACGTTGGGCCATACCATCCAGCCACACATCCATGAATGCAGTGACCACTCTCGTTGTGGCATTCTGGTGTACACTCGTTTGTAATGTTTCCATTTTCTTCCACACACTGGCGCTCAGAATAGAACACTGGGTTAGGAAGACAGTTTTCACTGCACATTTCAGCACATTCAATCCCGTATAATCCAGGAGCACATACTCGTGCACATTCACCGACACATGATCCCGAACAGTAATTACACGAGTACTCACAGTTTTTGCCATGATAATGTGAATGGCACTGGTCACATGTTCCTGTTATTCTATTGCACGATTGACATCTCTTGGAACAATCCTTGCAAGCTGAGCCGTAGTAGGAATCTTGACAGTATTCCCCGTCACATCCACCCGGACATTTGGAGCAGTTTTGTGTTGGAACTGAACAAATTAGTTTGCAGTTTACACCGTGATACCCTGGTTCACAACCTTCTGTGCAATTACCAATGCCAGTATTTTCTGATAATTTGCATTTCTTCTCTTTGCAATTCTTGCTGCAATCAGACCTGCATTTTAGATCGTAATATCCAGTTTCGCATTCCGTGATGCAGTTTCCTGATGCCGGATCACAGTTTGAACAGTGTTGGCTTTCGTGACAGTGGTCAGCTGAAATACAAAAAAGCATCGGTAGCCCTTTAGCATATGTAATCATACATGGAATATTCTCATGTAGGATATAAAACAATTCATCTACATTGAAAACTGAAGGTTTCAAAAATAGTCATTACAAGAGAACAGGAGAACATCAGTAGCACTATTCAATCATACACGGAGTAAGCCAATACACTGTGTAGAAACGAATCATCAATATTGATAACTGAAGGTTTCGAAATTTGTCATCACGGTGGTCAGTGGTAAAACTGGAAAATATCAGTAGCACATTGCTAGCTATGGTGCTTAATCTTTCAATCCTTGTAAGCCCATGCAGAGTAGTAAAACAATTAATTAATATTGCTAAGTTACATTTTTGGCTTTAAAAATAGGACCCATATATTGTTTCGTGAAACCTATTGACAAATTACCTTACCTGGTGTTGAAAGAATCAAACAGGCAAACGTTAGGAATACCAAAAATGCCATGATTTTTTTCTGAAAAATAATAATACGTACACATAAACGGTGAACAGAGTAATACGAATACATAATCATGAGTCATCGGAAGAAGAAGCCTTCTGCCTGCAGTTTTTACTGGCGATAGAATTACAATGGGCGTAAACAATTGGTTGATTATGCATTAATATAATTTACTGCAAAGTATTATCAGCTTCAATGTGGGCAAAGAATACATGTCCAACTAGCAAATATTTTAGACGTATTGGATCAAATTCTATGAAACTACTGACAAAATATGAAAGTATATCTCACTTGTACGGCTTTGCCAGTGTGTTTTACATGTCGCGCATGTAACAGCTCTCACACAAATGACAGTGTAAGCGAGTGTGGATAATATTCCCTGAGATACATGGAAATTGAAACTATGATCTCGGCCTCAACGATAGCATGTTAGCCAAATCATACTGTAATTAATGCGTTTCATCTTCCTTTTGTATCATATGTCTTAAATTGTCATTCAGTAATACTAGTACTAGTTGTTATCCTAAATGATTAAGATTCGCAGCTGTGATTTGCCGGTCGTGCAGTTTCCGAAAGCACGTTCTTTAATACCAGTGCTACAAATAGCATCAATTGATAATCATTTGCATTGTACATTCAAAGACAATAATGCGGCTTTAAGATATAATTCATTTTCGTGAAGGGTACGTAACCAGATTCTTTAAACGTAATATTTCATGATTTTCATTTATGGCTAAATTCGACTACAATCGCTAGCGGCTGAAGGGGTGATATAAATCCAGCTAGGGGCCATTCAGGAAGCAAATGTACTATAAGTCCCCATGGTCCCTAGTATGGTGATCTACCTCCAGATGTTGGCGATAAATAGCCCATTGTTTACATTGTATTGTCCAAAAATGATTTTTTACTTTTAAAGATGTATGTTAGTTTTAACTCATTTTGTGATAATCTAGTAATTTTACTATCCTTCGTTGACAGGGTTTTATCTATCTGTATACATTCATAACTAGTTTTAGTCACGATATGGCTGAAATATTGCCGATGTGACTTCAAACCATTTAAGAGTGTATCGAAGGACTGTGTCATAACTAGATTATCATATATTAGACCAAAATATGTGAGTGTCTGTAAATGAATGCACTTAGTCAATTAACAGCACAATATAAAAAGGGGTCAGAGTTCGTTAGCGACCATAGTTGGGCCACCATACCAGGGACAGTGAGGACTTACAATCCTTCTTCGTCCTGCACGGTTCCCCAGTGGGAGTTATACCATTCCTTCAGTTGCTACCGATTTCAGGATTTCGTCCCCAATATTCTACTAAAGATCATTTATTTACCCTACAGGAATTGTGTTCCAAATATTTGGGTAAAGCAAAATGTCGTTTCTACTGCGGATTCATTGATTTTAAAAAAGCATTTGACTTTGTGGACAGGGATAAGTTATTATATGTATTAATGTAACGTGGATGTCATGGAAAGTTACTTATCTTGCTTAAAAGTATGTACGCATCAGTAAAGGCCCGTGTTAAAGTTGGTAATTGAAGAACAGTAGCGTTTGATACCTCCCGTGGAGTAAGACAAGGATGTATCCTAAGTCCCGTACTTTTTATTATGACTTTGCCACTGAACTGTATATGTCTTGTAACAGTGGAGTGTTCGTTACCCAGGATATACAAGATCTGCTGCTACTAATGTTTGCCGATGACATCGTTCTTTTTGCCACTAGTGTTATTGGTCTTCAACGACAACTAAGGCTCCTGGAGTCATTCTGTTGAAATTGGGGACTGGAATTGAATTTAAGAAAGTCAAATATCATCGTATTTCGAAATGGTGGAATTCTTACTGAATCGTAGAAATGGTTCTTCGGTAATCAGCCTATGGAGGTTGTAACTTACTATAAATATCTTGGTATCGTGTTTTCATCAAGATTAATATGGACAAAGGCGTGTAAAACTCTTGCACAACAAGCAAACAAAGCCTGTCTTTCAGTGTTTAGAATCTTTAAGAAAAAACAGAATATTACATGCTCTATGGCACGGATTATTTTTTTATAGGAAGATAGCACCAATACTACTCTACGGAGCTGAAATTTGGGGACACAAATTGAAAGGATTCAAATGACGTATTTTGAAAGATTTCTCAAAATTGGAAAATTTGCTTCTAACAAGGCTATCCTCGGTGAACTTGAACTTTATCCAATGTATGTTTTCAGCCAGATCAAAGTAATTAAGTTTTGGTTTAAACTGTTACACATGAATCAACAACGTTATCCCATACAGTGTTATAAGATGCTTAAAACTTTTGACGATATGGGCAAAATTAAGTGTGAGATCTGTTTTATTCAAAAACGGATTTTCACATGTGTGGTTAAAACAAGGTGTTGGCGATGTGCAGCTATTCATCTTAACCTTCGAACAACGCATCAAAGATATAGCCTACTAGACTTGGCATAATGATATTTGCAGCTCAACTATTCTCATCCACTTTTCACAATTTAAATATGACCTTCACTTCGAACCATACATCACTAAATTGAAAAACAAATACTTAATACGTGCGTACTGCAAATTTCGAATTTCCCATAACAATCTGAAGATAAACAAATTTAGATGTAACGAAGATATCCCCATAACAGGATAATTATGCACTGTATGTAATGCATTGGAAGTTGAAGACGAGTACCATGTCTTTCTTAAATGTAAATATTACGAATGTTGGCGAGAAAAAGTATTTGGTACAACTTCGAAAAGTGTATAAAGGTCCACTAACTTTAGAATCTATTTTCAAATCAAGAAACAGTCAGGTAATATATTTCACTGCTTTATTTCTGCATAATGTAGTCCAAACAAGAGCTGGGTCCATTTGACCACTGTACATCGATCTATACAACTGTATAAGTGTATTATAGGCCACTAGGCCGATATTACGCAAATAAACTGTCTGTGTGTCTGATTGTACGGACATGTAGCCACTTTACAACTGTGATTAACAACGGGGTTAAATAACCATATTGTGTAATGGCTTGGGCTCACATATCCTCACCCCCAACTAAGAAAACAACTATCAATCTTACTTCATTATCGTATTATCAATTATACAAAATAAAATACCCTGTACCTCAAAATGTGTCAGTTAATTCAATCCCCTTTGAAAAGCAATATTAAATGAGAGCAGTATTATGAGAATATGAGAATAGTATCATTAACATGATCCAACATAGATGAAAATTTGAAATAATTACTTCTTCACATCTGGACTGAAAACACATGTAGTGTTACAAATTATTGGTTTAATTACTTGAGTAATTACCTGTGTCTTGAGCCTGTTTCTTTCGATTAGATATCTGATGTTACAGCAAATTACCGGTGTAATGTATGAGTTGTGTCGCAGACTTGGTGAGTGCTGCCATAGCAGCAGAATCGGCCATTGTTTTACCATTGTAATTACTACAATGCCAAATTTAGGATTTCGGAAGAATTTTATCAATATGTTGTTACCGTACGATATTCAATGTTAGTGGAAATCAAATTTAAAACGCTCTGGACTCAGTCCTCTGTGGATGATATAATCGTAGTGATCATTGTCGATTTGTCCACGGTGAGCACGTCATGAAGGACAAAACGTCGATCCACACGCAACAACGAGTGGCCAGTGAACCCTCGTTGCACAATAAGGATTGGGTTTGCAGAGTTCAAGTGATGACACCCCACACATGACCGACACACCGCCAAATCTGTCATGGGGTTTTGGTTTATCATTAGCTTGATATTCATTTCAACGTCGCCAGACACGACATCCCCATCATAAATATGCAAAATAAATCGTGACTCTTGACTCTGCAAAATTCTCACAGGACCGGTATTTCGATTTTGTGTTCGATTTCAAGGAATCACGTTACAAATATGTAGTCCTTGTCGTTTGCTTGTGGCAAGTGCAGACCATAAGGCATGTTTCGGTTTAAACTTTCAAAGACGCCTCCACGTCGCAAAGCCTTGCTCTATAAATGTTATCACAGTATGACCAAAGTTTTCACGGCAAGTGGATAACTAGAAGCTGCACGCGTAGTGTAAGTGCCGGGTTTGACGTTCTGTGACGTACGGGTAATCGCACATTCAGGTAGTCGAAAATGGATATTGTGCAGTACAAGATTCTGACACAGTTCACTATTTGTTACGAGGAAAGAGTGCAAAGAGAAGATAAGCCAGGTGTACAAAGAGAGGATAAGCCAAACGGACTATACACACATGGTCTTCCTTCTTGCTGCAAACAGATTACCTTTCTCTTTAACCAGACACTAGATTCTATTTTACCTGGGATTTTTAACAAACATCAACTGATATACAATACAGGTAGGTATGAGTTACAACGCATCCATATTTATGTGCTTCACTTTTATTATTCAATTTCTGTATCGCAAAACTTACAATGAACATTGCAGTTCAAGGTGATACTTAAACTAATAAGCAACATCCATTGTCATTGTACCATCGCCTTTGGTAAAGAGAGTGTTGGGTGGTGCGATTTTTGTAACATACCTTTCGACAACAACATAGAAAAATAGAAAATAAATATTCACATTTAAACATGTTTTTAGTAACATCCTAAATTTGATTAAGTTTGTCTGCTATTACTGATCACTGCAAGATACTACAGCTGCCTTGGCATTTGCTTTGAATTCAGCAACGATTAACTGTCTAACCCCTTGTAGTCGATCTTGTAATTATTTAGAGAAAGCTAATATCCAGTCAACACCAATTGGCATCAACATCGTCCTCTGCACCTGGGATCAGGCTGTCATTAAATAAAAACATGGTAATAATAGAAAACGCAGTAACAGTTCACGGTTTTATTATTAGTAGCGATTTGTAACTAAAGCAAATGTACAAGTTGGTGAGCGAAGAACTAATTTATGTAAAATCAGGAAAACATGAGTTGCAAACTAACGATTATAGCAATAAGTGAAAATTACAAAATAAAGGTCTGAACATGAGCTTCACAAAGCTACCAATAATCAATTTACAAATCAGATTCTAAC